GGGAGAGATGTATCTTTTGCAAAAATTAAATTCCAGGGTACCTTAGTTGTTGCTTTTTGTCCCGGTCAGCCAAAAACTTTCACTTAACTTCTTCCTGCACTTTCTTTCCGGCTGAGTGCTTCTTTGAGGCAGCCATTTCTGACCGCCACTCTTACTGCCTTTCGGAAAAGGGAGTTTAGCCAGTTGAGGAGGAAAAATGCGGCTTCCCTCGACCCTGCCAGGTCTCCCCTATCTTCACCACCTCTACGGGGTGGCTTAACCCCGAAGCCGGCTGGCTCGGGGCACTCCAGCGGTGAGCGCAGGCAGAAACCGCGCACGATCGCGGATTCCTACCTGCTGCCAAAGCGCTGCAAACCGGAACCCTTGAGGTGTGGTTTTTCTATTTCACGTTATTCCTATGTGCTAAGATAAGGAAATAACAGACTGGATGATATTAGATTTAGATCTAAAAGCTCCTGCAAGTTTTGTCTGTTGTGTTTTTGATTTAAATTGTAATGCAGGAAGAAAAGAGAGCTTCTCCATATTGTCAAAGGTATGTAGCTTATATACCTAGTGCAGACATATGTTTTCTGAATGCATATACTAAAATGTCAATAAGGCTCCCTCCCTCTTCTTTATTGTATTTATTCATTTGGTTGACTCCTGCCAACTGAGTGGACAATTCCCTGCAGTTTTGATTTATAATTTTCAAAAGTCAATGTCATTATGCCTTCCTAAGGATTGATAACTATGTTCTAGCAGGGTGGGCTTCAAAACTTTTAGCAATGGGTTCTCTCCCCAGTTGCTGGGTGGGCGTGGCCGGCCTCCTGCACCATGGTGGGGGGCACTCCCCAGGCTCTGGAAGCTTTCTTTGAGCCTCCGGGAGGGCAAAAACCACCTCCCTGGGCAACCTCCCGTTTCCAGCCTTCCCAAACTTCTGGGAGGCCCATTTTTCACCTAAACGGGCCACGTGAGAACTCCTGGGAGAGGTGGGGCAGGATGGGTGGGGCCAGCCAGGAGTAGGATCTGGGGGTTCTCCAAACTGTGCAGAATCTTAGCTAGAGGATCTCCCGAACCCCTGCAAACCCCCAGCAGCCCACTCCTGTGTTCTGGACCTGAAAAGAAATATTTATACCTAATGTGCTAAAACCAACCATGCCCCCTAGCTTATGTTTCCACATTTCTCAAGCAAATATTTATATATGACAATACGTAGTGCAACATTTGGATCCTAGACAAACCAACCAAATGGCAAAGTAAAGCTATGCTAATTTTGTTTTCCTAGAATGTGTATGTCTTGCTATACAAAAAGTTCTAAAGTTACAATGGCAATAGGGACTGGAATTTGTCTTGTTAAGTGCTATGGTGGTAAAGCATATTATAGAATTACAGATAATCCTTGACTTATGACAGTTCATTTAGTGATTGTTCAAAGTTCCAACGTTACTGAAAAAAGTGACTTGTGACCATTTTTCATACTTATAACTACTGCAGCATCCCTATGGTCATATGATCAAAATTCAGACCATTAGCCCAGTTTGCCTGCTTTGCTGAACTTCTTGCTCCAGTTACTGTTCGGCTAACCTAGCTTACTGGACTGCTCACCCTGGTTGCTGTGTAGCTAACCTTGCTTACTGGACTACTCGCAGCCAGAGGCTTCTAAAGATGCATGTGACAGCTTTGCTCTAGGATGTGGGGACATTTGGGGGCACAGTTGGAGCAATAAAGGGGAGTTAGATCTGTTCTCTGGTTGTGTTGCTCTTGTGCCACACCCCGGGTCATCATACTGCTGGGGGACTTCAACCTGCCATCCCTGGGGGTGGGATTGGAGGTAGACTGAGATTTCATGGAAACCATGACTTCCATTGGCCTGTCCAGGTCATTCAGGGCTCAACCAGGAATAGTGGTCACTCATCCAATTTGATGTTCTTATTGGAGCAGTGCCTATGTGACCAGGATTTGGTGGACTTGTCTTTGCTCCCCGTATCATAGTCAGGTCACAATCTGGTGGCAATGAGTTTCTCAAGAGCTGTTTCCCCCCTGCAGGAGGCAGAACCTATTAGATTGGTCCACCCCCATTGACTACTGGACCCAAATGGGTTCTAGAAGGAACTGGGGATTGTAACTGCATAGTCATATAGGACTATAACCCAGTGCCTGCAGCACCGATAGGCATGCAGACTGGCACTTAGAAGCCCAAAGGAGACCCCTTTCAGCTGGAGTTCTGTGTCCAGCTGGGGAATGGTTCCCAGGACTGCCGAATTCTCACCCAGCCAGCTGCATGGTGGGAGGGGGCTTCCTGCCCACATGAAAAAGAGGCTGGGTTGCATAAAAGGGCTTTTCCCTCTGAAACCCTTGCAAGTGCCGGGATGCAGCCTCTGCCCTGGGGAACCTCAATTAGGTCCAAGCTCTCAGCATGCTCCAGCCTCCACCTGCCCTGCAAGGAGGGCAAAGTGCCCTCATGAGGCCAGCAGCAGCATAGGCAACTGCTTAGCAGCCAGCATGGTGCCTGCCATGGCCAAGAAGTTCTCAGCAGCAGCTGGTCAAGCAGGCAGAACAGGTGGAGGTTGAGGCATGCCGAAAGCTTGGCTAGTGGAGGCCGCGGGCAAGGAGATAGTGGGATGGAGATGGCAGGGCCAGTGGTAGCTGCACTCCCATTCCGTTGCTGCCTCCTGCATGTAAAAAAAAAAAAAGACCTCCCCAAAAATAAGCCCAAGTTCTTATTTTGAGGCTTAAAAGAAAATAAGAAAATCGTCTTATTTTTGGGGAAACACAGTATTTTTTAATTATTTATATTTTTATATGTTAGCAACAGAAATGTTGGGCTCAATTGTGGTCATAATTCGAGGACTACCTGTTATAGAATTATATAATTTAAAACAATGATTAATTTGGGCCATTTATTTTATTATACTGTATATCCCAACCTTGTATAGAAGGCTCAAGTCAAGAGTGTTATTTAATTCCCAAAATTATCTTACTTAATTCCCTAACATCAACCTTATTCTGTAAAGATAATTGTTATGTTAATAATTATCAAGTGAACAATGTGTTGGAGTGAAGACTTAAACCTCGACCTCACAGTCTCATAGTCACAATCTAATACCTTGCTGAGAAGCACTATCCAGCGAAAGGAGCTTCTTCCTGTCTTCCTGTTTGAATCAGAGGAAAAAATTCTGCTTCAATTTGTTGCATTTGGGATTTCAAGGCAAGCTTCAGTGAAGTTCATAAAAGCTCCCAATTTATATCAATCCATTCCAATTTAAACAGCAGATAATGTGGTCAGGAGGCTGAGTGCCTGAAACCAGGTAGAAGGCCATCCAGACTCTTGTGTATCTACAATATAGGTATGAAATATACTCTCACTACAATTTTCATACTAAAAATATATGAAAGTGAACACTGTTGTTGAATAATAACAATGAACAATTTTACACCAATGCAAACAGTTCATGAAAGCTGGTTCTGTATTGTTGTCACTTTCTTTTATGCAAGCTATAATGCCACCTAGTGCCCATATTTGGAATGTAGGTTACAAGTCAATTTTCCAGGAAAAATATTGTATTTTAGTTAATATATAATCCATAATTCAAAAGTTTTGCCATTGATAAAATGTTATTGTCTTATAATAATTAAAAATAATTATAATATTTAGTTATAACAACATTTAGTTCAATAACATTAGAAAATAATAATATGACAGAGCTGAGGTCTTTTGGTGTGTTATAGAACCAACAGGGTGAACAGGGTGATATTACAATGAGAAAGTGTAAAAGCTCTTCTGGGGTTTGGAGGGATAGTATTGTCAGGAAATATGTGGGAGCAACACTTTTAGGTTGCAAGGGTGAAGGTTCGTTTTCCAAGCTTGTGGGTTGGTTTCCAAAAGTTTCGTTAAGAGGCTATGTTCAGAAACCAGGAAACCATCAGATAAGCAACCCATAAACTCAGAAAACTAACCTTTACCCTCATCTTACACCCGAGCTATAGATATTCGCCATTACTTTTAGGTGGGTTCAATTTTTGTTATTTACATTTGGGTTATATTTGGACATTATTTATGAATACTTAATATAAGATACTTAAATTCGATTAGTATTTAGAATGGCATGTTAGCCTAGTAAAATAAGAAAGCAAATTAACTTGGAATTTACTTTTGAAATAAATCCTACTAAAGCTCATTCCCCAATAGAAAAGATTAGATTTGTTGTCTAGAATCTTAAATCTGCTTCACATGGATTCTTTTTTAATTTCAAAATAAATGTTTTGATGACAAAAATACATCCACTCCATGCACCTACTTTTAGAGAATAAGGCTTAGTGGGAAATTCTACACTTGCTGTTATGAAAGGAAGCTTTTTGATAAAATCTGCTAAAGATTCTTTTGAAAGAATTTCTCACTGTTGAAACATGAAAAAATTGAGCATTAATCTGTATGAAATACATAATCTATAAATGCTCACATTTTTCATATTTAAAAAAAATCTGAATCTAATAACTTTCATTTAGCTTATTATAATAAACAATGTTGATGTGATTTTTCATAGTGAGATGTTTTAAAATTTAATTAATTCAAATTAGAGAATACTAAATCTAAAGACCAGTAATTTTATTTTATCAATGTGCTGATTTTATGGCATGATTAAAAAGAATCCATGTTGGATTCTGATGGGGAAATATAATGAATTTGCTCGGTCAATATTTAAACATTTCCTATCCTAAAAATCTACATTGGATGAATGGAGAAAAAACCAACTTATAATTTTGTCTCTTCCCCCTGAATAAGTTGCCTGAAGCATTTCCAAACCTTGAATATTTATAAGAATTTGTACCTAATGCTATGTGGGTTAATTTAATCCTAAATAAAGTATATCGCTTATGGGGAGAGAGAGCCTTTAAAAATAGAAACATTCTCTCCTTATTTCTTCCTTCCCATTTTTACTTCCATTAAGGGTTGCAGATGACCTTAAGATTGATCCATCCTTTCTCTAACTTTCATTCAGGATCAGAATTCTAGAAGTTAGTCAGTTTGGGAAAAAGTCCAAGGTAGAGTTGGAGAGTGGCCTTCGAGAATTCTTGTCATTTCCTCTGTTCCTAAGGGATTGCTGGTATTCCTTCTTGTCTAAATCCCTAAGAACTTTTCCTGGCTCCATATAGAACTTTTTACCATCAACTATGACCAAGTCTTTCTTTTGTGCTTCCTCAAATTCACCGCCATATACTGCAGCACCCTCTTCATTCATTGTTTTTAGAACAGACTCTGAAAATTGTGCTGCATATTTATTATGTGTTATTTCCAATATTTGATTCTGTGCTTTGTCCAGATCGCTAGCTTTATGACCTTCCTTCTGCTCATCTGCTGTAATATCAGGAACATTCTTCTGTTCCACAATTTGAGTCTTTGCAAATTCCCCTAAAGTAAAATGAGCTTTGTTTTGATCATCAAAGTCTTTCATCCATGTTCTCTGCTGATCATTCAGGTCTTTTCTCTGTCTTTCTTCCAGCTCCTTAAGCATCATCTCAGCCTTGTGCTGTTCTGCTAAAGCTATTTTCTGAACTCGCTCTTGTTCTTCCAAAACTTCCCTTTGAATCTTGGCCAATTCATTTATAGCATGATGAGCTCTTACTTGTTCATATATAGCTCTCCTTTTTGCTTCTTCTTGATCTTCCAGGGCTTTTCTTCGTGATTCTTCTAGTTCAATAAACATTTTCTTAGTTCTCTGCTGTTCTTCAAAGGCCAACCTCTGTGCTATCTGTTGTTCCTCTATAGCTTTAGCATGTGCTATCTCCAGCTTTTTCATAACCAGATGTATTGTCCTTTTTTCTTCTAATGCCCTCTGCTGTGTTCTTTCATTTTCCTCCATGGCCAACTTTTGAGCTATTGCCAAGTCCTCTAGAGCTTTCTTTTGAGCAACCTGTAATTCTTCTAGAGACTTCTGCACATTTGCTCTTTCTTCCTTGGCTTTTCTTTCAGCCCTCTCTTGTTCTTCTTGAAATTTTCTCTGAGTTCTTATAAGTTCTTCCAGGGCAGCTTCAGCCAAATGCTTTTCTTCTTGAGATTTTTTTTGTACTTTTTCTTCTTTCTCCAGTATTTGTTTATGAGTTCTTTCCAGAGCCTCCAAAGCTATCTGAGCATTCTCCTTTTCTTCCAGAGCCTTCTTCCGTGCAAGCTCTAGTTCTTCTAAAGTATTCTGTGACTTTCCTGTTTCTCCCATTGTTTCTCCCATTGTTTCTCCCATGGTCCTTCCCTGCTCATTACGGATGCTTCTCTCTGCCCATGGCAGTTTTTTCAGAGCAGCTTCAGCCATTGTCTTTTCTTCCTCATTTTTTTGTTGTATTTGTTCCAGTTCCATCTGGGCTTTCTTCTGCTCATCCAAGGTCTGCTTATGAGCTTTTTCTAGAGCATCCAAAGCTTTCTGAGCATTTTCCTCTTTCTCCAAAGCCGCTGCCTGAGCAATCTCCAATTCTTTTAGTTTCAGATGAATTATTTCTTTTTCTCTGGTTGCTTTTTGCTGAGCTTTTTCCTGTTTTTCTTGGAATTGTCTTTGAGCTTTTGAGAGTTCTTCCAGGGCTGCTGCAGCCATTTTTTTTTCATCTTGACACTTTTGCTGCACTTTCATTTGTTTCTCTAGGGTCTGAGTGTGAGCTCTTTCTAAATTATCCAGAGTCTTCTTAGCATTTTCTTCTTTTTCCAAGGCCTCTTTTTGAGCTATTTTTATTATTTCTAGCTCTTTTTGTGCCTTCTCTAATTCTTTCATTACTTGAATCTTAGATATTTCTTGCTCTTCTTGGAATTTTTTCTTAGTCTCTAAGAGTTCTTCCAAGGCTGCCTCACACATCTTCTTTTCTTCTTGACACTTCTTTCGTGCTTGTTCCAATTCTTCTATAGCAGCTACCTGAACTTTATTCTGCTCCTCTAGGATTTCTTTATGAGCCCTTTCCAAAGCCTTCTGAGCTTTTTCCTCTTCTTCCTGAGTTTTTTTCTGAGCAATTTCTAATTCTTCTATAGTCTTCTGAGTCCTCTCATTTTCTTTTATCGTTTTCTTCTTAACCTTTTCCTGTTCTTCATGGAATGTTTTCTGGGTTCTTAACAGTTCTTGCAGAGCAGCTTCAGCCATCCTTTTTTCCTCTTGAATTTTCTTTAGTGCTTTCTTCTGTTCTTCCAGTGCCTGCTTATGAGCTCTTTCAAGAACATCCCGAGTTCTTTGAGCTTTCTCCTGTTCTTTCAGGGCCTTCTTCCGGGTATTCTCTAATTCTTCTAACTCTTTCTGTGCTCTCTCTCTCTCTTTAATTGCTTTCTGTTCTGCTGAATGCTGCTCTTCCTGGATCTTTTTCTGAGCTCTTGATAATTCTTCCAAAGCAGCCTCGGCCATCTTTCTTTCTTCCTGAGATTTCCTTTGAGCAATTTTTTGTTCCTCTAATGCCTGCTTATGAGTTCTTTCCAGACTATCCAATGCATTTTGAGCTCTTTTCTGTTCTTCCAGACTCTCCTTTTTAGCTGTCAATATATTTTCTAAGGCCTTCTTCTGAGCAATGTCTAATTCTTTTAGCAATGTCTTAGCTTTTTCTCTTTCTTCTGTTGCCTTTCTTTCAGCTGTTTCTTGTTCCTTTTGTACTTGTTTCAAGAGATTTTCTAGGGCTGCTTCAGCCATTTTTTTTTCTTCCTGAGATTTTTTCTGTGCTTGTTCCTGTTCCACCATGACAGCCAAATGAGCCTTCTTCTGTTCCTCTACCTGTTTATGGGCAATTTCTAGAGCCTGCTGAGAACTCTGGGCCTTCTCCTGTTCCTCCTGAGCTCTCTTCTGGACTTCCTCTAATTTCTGAATATTTCTTTGAAGTCTCTCTCTTTCTTCTATGGCTGTCTTTTCTGCTTTCTCCTGTTCCTCTTGGAAAGTTTTCTGGGTCCTTAGGAGTTCTTGTAGTCTTTCCTCAGCCATTTCCTTTTCTTCTTGTGATTTTTTCCATGCTTGCTCTTGTACTTGAATAGCTAACTGAGCTTTATTCTGTTCATTCAGAGCACATTTATGGGCTCTTTCTGCAGCCTCCCATACTTTCTGAGCCCTTTCCTGTTCCTCCTGAGCTATTTTCTGAGCTATTTTTATCTCTGCTAGGGCAATTTGAGTTATTTCTCTTTCTTCCATTATTTTTTTCTCAACCGCTTTCTTCTCTTCTTGGAACCTCATCTGAGTTTTTAGAAGTTCATCCAAGGTCACTTCAGCTATCTTCTTTTCTTCCTGAATTTTTTTCCGTATTTGTTCTTGTTCTTCTATTATTGCTATCTGAGTTCTTCTTTGATCTTCCAGGGCCATTTTATGACATCTTTCTATAGCTGCTAGAGCACTCTGAGCTTTTTCCTGTTCCTCGAGTGCTTTCTTTTGAGCAATTGCTAATTCTTTGAGACCCTTCTGTATATTCTCTTTTTCTTCCATAATTTTTTTTCCAGCATTTTCCTGCTCTTCTTGAAGTTTTTTTTGAGCTCTTAAAACATTTTCCAAAGCAGCTTCGGCCATCATTTTATCTTCTTGAGATTTCTTCCGTGCTTGGTCCTGTTCATCGAGGGCAACCATTTTAGCTTTCATCTGATCTTCCAGGCTTTTTTTCTTAGCTTTTTCAAGAGCTTCCAGAGCTTTTTGAGCTTTTGTCTGTTCCTCGATGGCTTTCTTCTGTTCAATCTGCAATTCTTCTAGGGCCTTTTGAATTCTTTGTCTTTCATCCATGTTTTTTTCCTCAGCTCTTTTCTGTTCTGCTTGCACTTTTCTCTGAAAGTTTGACAGTTTTTCCAAAGCTGCCTCAGCCATCTTCTTTTCTTCTTCAGATTTTTTCCGTGTTTGCTCAAATTCTTCAATGGCAGACACCTGAGTTTTCTTCTGTTCCTCTAAGACCTTCTTCTGAGCAATTTCTAACTCTTTGAGAGCCTTTTCTGCTCTCTCTTTTTCTTTTAGGGCTTTTTTCTCAGCCTTTTCCTGCTCTTCTTGGACTTTTTTTTGGTATTGTAACAGTTTTTCTAGGGCTGCCTCTGCTTTTATCTTTTCTTCTTGAGATATTTCAAATGCTTGCTCCTGCTCTTCCAATGCAGCCATATGAGCTTTTTTTTGTTCTGCTAAAGCCTGTTTATGAGTTCTTTCTACTGCTTCCAGGGCATTTTGAGCTCTTATCTGTTCCTCTCGAGCCTTTTTCTGAACAATCTCTAGTTCTTCTAGGGTCTTCTGAGTTTTCTCTCTTTCTTCCATTGCATTCTTTTCAGCCTGTTTATGCTTCTCTTGCATTTTCATCTCAGCTTGTACAAGTTTTTCTAAAACTGCTTCAGCGCTTTTCTTTTCTTCTTCAGCTTCTTTCCGTGCCTGTTCACATTCTTCAATAGCAGCCCTCTGAGCTTTCTTCTGTTCTTCCAGTGCCTGTTGATGAGCTTTTTCTACATCTTCCAAAGCTTTCTGAGCTCTTGTTTGTTCTTCAAGAGCTTGTTTCTGAGCAATTTCTACTTCTCTGAGTGCCTTCTGAGCTATCTGTTTTTCTTGTGTTGCTTTTTTTTCAGCCATATCCTGCTCTTTTTGAAATTGTTTCTGTGTCCTTAAAAACTCTTCCAGAGCTGCCTCCATCATTTTCTTTTCTTCTTGCATTTTTCTCCATTCTTTCTCCAGTTCCTCCATGGCTTCCAGATGAGCCTTCTTCTGCTCCTCCACAGCCTGTTGATGAGCTATTTTTGCTGCTTCCAGGGACTGCTGACTTTGATTCTTTTTCTCAATGGCTTTCTTTTGAAGAATTTGTAATTCTTCTAGGGCCTTCTGAACTTTATCTCTTTCTTCCATTGCATTCTTCTCAGCTTCTTTTTGTTCCTCTTGCATTTTTATCTCAGCTTGTGCAAGTTTTTCTAAAGCTGCCTCAGCTCTCTTCTTTTCTTCTTCAGCATTTTTCCGTGCCTGATCATATTCTTCAATGGCAACCATCTGAGCTTTCTTCTGATCTTCTAGTGACTGTTGATGAGCTTTTTCTACATTTTCCAAAGCTCTCTGAACTCTTATTTGTTCTTCAAGAGCTTGTTTTTGAGCAATCTCTAACTCTCTGAGGGTCTTTTGAGCTATCTTTTTTTCTTGTATTGCTTTCTCTTCAGCCATTTCCTGCTCTTTTTGGAAGTGCTGCTGTGTCCTTAAAAGCTCTTCCAGAGCTGCCTCCATCCTTTCCTTTTCTTCTTGCATTTTTTTGCATCCTTGCTCCTGTTCTTCCATGGCTGCCAGATGAGCCTTCTTCTGCTCCTCCATAGCCTGTTGATGAGCTATTTCTACTTCTTTCAGAGACTCCTGAGCTTGTTTCTGTTCCTCAAGGGCTTTTTTTTTAATAGTTTGTAATTCTTCTAAGTTCTTCTGAGCTTTCTCTCTCTCTTCCATTGCCTTTTTTTCAGCTTTTTGCTGTTCTTCTTGAAACTTCCTTTGACTTTTGAAAACTTCTTCTAGGGCAGCTTCAGCCATCTTCTTTTCTTCTTCAGACCTTTTCCTCAGTTTTTCTTGTTCTTCTATGGCAGCCATCTGAGCTTTCTTCTGTTCCTCCAGTGCCTGTTTATGAGCTTTTTCCACAGCTTCCAGAGCTTCTGCTGCTCTTTCCTGTTCCTCCATAGCCTTTTTTTGAGCAAATTCATATTTTTTTAAGGCTTCCTGAGCATTTCTTTCAGAGGCTTTCTCTTCCTGCTGTTCTTGAATCTGTCTTTGAATCTTTGATAGTTTTTCTAAGGCTTCCTCAGCCATCTTCTTTTCTTCTTCAGATTTTTTCCTGATTTTTTCTTGTTCTTGTATCATAGCCATTTGGGCTTTCTTTTGTTCTTCCAACACTTTTTTATGAGCTCTTTCTACATCTTCCAAAGCTTTCTGAGCTTTTTCCTGTTCTTCCAGTGCTTTCTTATGAGCAATTTCTAATTCTTTAAGGTTTTTGTGAGCTAACTGTCTTTCTTCTGCTGCTTTGTTTTCAGCCCGCTGTCTCTCTTCTTGTATTGTCTTCTGAGTCCTGACAAGCTCTTCCTGGGCCAGCAAAATCATTTTCTTTTCTTCTTGAATTCTTTTCCATTCTTGTTCCTGTTCTTCTATGGCAGTCCTCTTAGCTTTGTTCAGCTCCTCTAAAGCCCGTTTGCGCATTTCTTCTACAACTTCCAAAGCATTCTGAGTTCTTTTCTCTTTTTCTAGGACTTCCTTTTGCATCACTTCTACTTCTTTTAGGGTCTTTTGTATAGCTTCTCTTTCTTCCTTTGCTTTCATCTGAGCATTCACCTGCTCTTCTTGGGTCTTCTTCTGATTCCTGAAAAGCTCTTCTAGGGCTACTTCAGTCATCTTCTTTTCTTCCTGAATTGTTTTCCTTATTTGTTCCTGTTCTTCCATCACTACTCTCTGAGCTTCCTTCTGTTCTTCCAGAGCTTTTACATGAGTCCTTTCTAAAGTTTCCACAGCATTCTGAACTCTTTCCTGTTCCTCGAGACATTTCTTTTTAGCAATTTCCAATTCATTGAGGGCCTTTTGTATGCTCTCTCTTTCTTTCATGGTTTTTTTTCCAGCATCTTCTCGCTCTTCTTGGATCTTTTTTTGAGTCCTGAAAAGTTCTTCCAGGGCTACCTCAGCCATCTTCCTTTCTTCCTGAATTTTTTTCCTTATTTGTTCTGGTCTTTCCATCAATGCTGCCTGAACACCTTTTTGCTCTTTCAGAATCTTTGTGTGAGCATTTTCTATAATTTCCAGAGTGCCTTGGTTACTTTCTTGTTCCTTCAGAAAGTTCTTTTGCACATTTTCAACTTTTTCAAGGGCCTTTGATATTTTCACACTTTCTTCAATGCTGTTTCTCTGACCTCTTCTCTGTTCTTTTTGGATTTTTCTGTGAGCCATGGAAATTTCTTCCAGATCAGCTTCAGACGTATTTTCAGGATTTGCCCCTCTTGTTTGTTCTTGTATTTCCATTAATGCTATATTTTGTTCTGACACTGCCGTTTTTGCTATTTCTACCACTTCCAGAACATTCTGATCAATGTCTTGTTCTTCCAGAAATTTATTTTGAGCAATGTCTAATTCTTTGAGGGTCTTCCATATGTTCTGTCTTTCCTGTTCCTTTATAGTTCTCCTCTGAAGAATCTCTGATTCTTCTAAAGTGTTTTGTGCACTCTGACTTTCTTCCATTACATTTTTCTCAGACCTTTTTTGCTTTTCTTGTTCCTTTATCTGAGACACAGAAATGTTTCCCAGAGCTTCTTCCACCAAGTCCTTTTCTTCTTCAGATATTTTCTTTTTATCTTCTAAGACTTCTTTATGACCAATTTCTAAGTTTTCCAGAGCTAATTCTTCTGGGGATTTATCAGTTCTTTCTCTTTCTTCTTTTGCTGCCTTCTGATTCTTTCCCTGTTCTTGGACTTTTTTCTGAACTGCCAAGAAGTGTTCCTCATCTACCTCTTCCATCAAACTTTCTTTTAGAATATTTTCCTGTCCTTTCTTCTGTTGGCCTAATGCCCACATATGAGATTTTTGTAAAGCTTCTAGAGCTTTTTGAGCTCTTGCTTGTTCTTCTAAGGCTACTTTTTTAGCAATATCCAATTCTTCTATGGCTTTCTGACTTCTCTCTCTCTCTTTTACTGCTTTCTTTTCTGAACTTTCCTGTCCTTCCTGAAATTCTTTTTGCATCTTTAAAAGTCGTTTCATGGTGACTTCAGCCATCTTTTTTTCTTCTAGGTAATTTTCTTTTGCTTGCTGTTGTTCTTCCACAGCAGCCATTTGAATCTTTCTTTGTTCCTCTAAAACCTGTTTGTGGGCTCTTTCTACAGCTTCCAGAGTTTTCTGAGCTTTTTCTTGATCTTCCAAAGCCTTTTTCTGAGCAATCTCTAATTCTTCTAAAGCTCTTTGTGCTTTCTCACTTTCTTCTTTTGCTTGCCTCTCAGCTCTTTCCTGCTGTTTTTGAACCTTTCTTTGAGCTTCTGCAAGTTTTTCTAAAGCTGCCTCAGCCATCCTTTTTTGTTCCTGTGACTTTCTTTGAGCATATTCCTGTTCTTCCATTGCAGCTATAAGGACTTTTTTTTGTTCCTCCAGAGCCTTTTTATGTGCTCTTTCCAGAGCATCCAGGGCCTCCTGTGCTCTTTCCTGTTCTTCAAGAGCTTGCTGCTGAACTCTCTCTTGTTCTTCCAGGGCTTTCTTTGTGGCTTTTTCAAGCTCATCTAAAGCCTGTTGTTGAGCTCTGGACAGTTCCCTCAAGGTTGCCTTCTGTATTTTTTCTTGTTCTTCCAGGATTATTTTAAAAGCTTGTTCTTGTTCACAGAGTGCCTTTTGCTGTGATTTTTCCTGCTCATCTAATAAACTCTGCAAAGTACTTTCTTCTTCATCAATTTCTTCTTGATAACTTCTGAGCTTTTCATCCAATTCATGTTGAAGAGCTTTTAGTTGTTCCTCCAACTCATTTTGATGGACTTGGAGTTTCATTTCTTTCTGTTTAAGGTTCACTTGTTCTTTCAGTAAATTATCTTGGAATTTTTCTTCTTGTTGTTGTTCCTCTTCTTCCTCTTCTTCTATTTCTTCTTCCTCTTTCTCAAAATAGTTATCTTGTTTCATTATGCTTTCCTGAAAGCATCTCCCTTTATTGTCTTGGGCCATACTCTTCTGTTTTGTCAGAACTATTTGCCTTGCTCTTTGTTGTTCTTTGATGTTTCCCCCCCAATTTTCTCTCCATTCCTCCACAATGTCATTGTCATTTCTTCCTAGTTCTGCAGATGTCATTTGAGATCTTTCTTGCTTCTTATAGGTTTCTTGAAGTTCACTCAAAGGAGCCTTATTCTTCTTTTCATCAACTTTCTCTTCCTGCTTTCTCCTGAGCCTGGCGATTTTCTGGGCCTTTGGTTGTACCTCTTTTAGCAAAGCATAGGATTCTTCATCGTAATCTAATTGACAAGCCAAAGCAAGGTCTTTAGCTGCCTTTTGCCAGTAACCAAGTATTTGCAGTGCTTTTCCTCGCCACTTGTAAGGCTGGGCTGAGTCAGGATTTATTTGTATGGCTTTATCACAGTCCCTAATTGCAGCAGTTGGTTTTTGTAGCTTCAAATAGACCCTGGCTCGGTTTGCATATAAGATAGTAAGATGTGGATTGAGCTTAATAGCTTCTGTGAACAAATCTAAAGCTTTAAAAAGTTCTCCTTTATTGACTGCATCAAAAGCTTCCCTCTTCTTTTCATTAGCTAGTTTTCGCATTTCATCAGTTACTTTCAAGTTTTCATTTCCCATCTCCTGAGGAAGATCTTCATCTGACTCAATAACCTCTTCTGTATCAATTTCCAATTCACTGTCTTCACTTTCTGATTCAGTTTCATATTTTTGCTTCCTCTTATGTCCTTTCTGAGCTCTTCTTTCATGCAATTCAATGTGCTCTTGTTTTTCATAATCCATAAACTGATCTTGTTCTTGTACTGCAGACATGGGATAATTTTCATTTTGATTTTCTGAACAATAAAGAGGGAATAATTTATAGTTTTGGGAATTATGCAGAATTGTCTTTTCCTCAGAAATGTGAAATGTTCTTGGGTCCAGTTCTTGTCTGCAAGACTCATGAATAACCGATTTCTCTTGGGGACTATTTCCTTGTATTTTCCCAGAAGCTTCTTTCATTTTGCTCATCTTCTCTTTAAATTCTCCCTGGTTACTTTCCTCTGGCTTTTCCCACCATTTCATAATTTTCTCATCTTTTGTTTGTATTTCTTTCATCTTGGCATAAGTACCTTCATCATAATCTAGTTGACAGGACACAGAGAAATCTTTAGTAGCCTCCTGCCAATAACCCAACATGCAAAATGCCTCTCCACGGTACTTGTATGGTAAGGCCATGTTAGGATTTAATTTTATGGCACTGTTACAATCCTTTACAGCAGCAATTGGCATATGAAGTTTCAGAAAAGCACTGGCTCGGCAAACATACAAGTTAGTAAAATGGGGGTTTAGTTTGATGGCTTTGGTGAATAATTCAGCTGCTTTTTGATATTCACCTTTCTCCATTGCATCCAAAGCTGCTTTCTTGTTTTCATTGGTCTGCTTCCATTTCTCATCTGTCTCCACATTTTCGTCTATTATTTCTTGGGAGCCTTTATTATGGTCTAGCTTCATTTTTTCTTCTTTATTCCTTACTACTTTATTCTCCAGTTCTATGCTAATACCTTCTTCTGTCTGGTCTTGTTTTTGATTCTCTAAAATTAACTGTGCTTTCTTAATCTTCTCCAGTATCTGAGATTCCTTATATGTAAGGATGCACTTTGCTTGCCTTTCAGAAATTCTTTGAAATCCTGATTTTAATTGCTTTAGTGCTAAATCGGCCTCTTTGTCATATTCTAACTTAGAAGCTAAAGCAAAATCACAGGCTGCTTTTTTTAAACAGCCTAATTCCTTGAATGCTTTTCCTCTCAATTTTAATGATTCTGATGATTTGGGATTCAGTTCAATGGCCATGTTGCAGTCTTTAATAGCAGCATTTGGTTTTTGCAGTTGCAAATAGACATTGGCACGGTTGATGTAAGAACTGGAAATATTTGGGTTAAACTCAATAGCTTCAGAGAACAGATCAATTGCTTTCTGAAGTTCAACTTTAGCTAGGGCTTCTGAAGCCTTTTTACTCTTTTCATTGATTTGATTCCTTACCTCATCAGATATATAAAGGTTTTCGTATTCTATTTCTTGGCTATTATTCTGCAATTGTTCTATGTTTTCCTCATTATAATTCTCCAAATTGTTCTCATTCCATGCATCTTCCTGAAGCTCACTGTCTCTCTCTTCTATACAGATGTCATCTGCAGTAGGTGACAAGGAACTGACTACAGTTTCGAATGATTCCCGGAGGAAAAGACGATCTTCAGAATTTGTAAAGTTGAGATCAGACCTGAACCTTGGAAGATTACTTGATCCCATGATGAGGAAAAATGTTGATGTAGCTGGATCTTAAAGGGAAGGAAGAATTTTAAAAAAATGATCTAAGAGAGGATTTAATCCTTATTCTAATGAATGATCTTATGAAAAATGGCCTTCATTCCTCTCTGCCATGGTCCTACTTCTATACTACCATTACTACTTAGTGAAGTAAAACTTAGTGTTAGATTCAACAACAAAGAAAGTTTTGTGATGTCATCAATCATGTCATCACTGGAATCCTCAAGTATTGTGTTTTTAAGAATTTCAACAGAAGCATCTTATCTCTTTTATTGATTGTTCTTGAATGAGGTTAATGGTAACATATGTAATGGGGCGGGGACTTATTTTTTAAATGCACAAAAATGCTTCTAAATTACTTTATTATATGAAAAATAGCAATGTACTGGTTTACTGAAATGACTTTCCAACATTTTAAATTAAAAATTATGAACTATCATGATTTCAGATGTCATTCAGACTTCAAAATTGGTATGTCATATTATGGCAGATTGACTCAAGGTGCCAAAATAAAATGCTATATGTGGCATGGATATAGCTAAAAACTTTTCTTTTAACATCAGCCTTAAATTATTAGACTTGCACACCTAACTAGCTAAAAATGAAGCTGGGTTAAAGAAACCCTTTCTGAATGGTCAATGACCCAGAGCCAAGATGATCATACAGCTTCATTTCCAGCTGATTTATGCACAAGAAATATAAAGGGACAAGATGTTATAGAACTGAATAAAGGCAATCTGATCTTGTACAGATCAGGGGTGAAATTAAATATTTTTTCCTACCGACTCTGTGGGCTTGGCTGTGGGCGTGGCTTGGTATACTTGGTATAATAGTAATAGCAACCTGGGGTGATTTTTTACTGATTCAAATCGACTCTACCACCTCTCCTAAGGTGGGCCAAGGTGGTTGAATTTCACCCTGCAGAGGTGGTATTCAGCAGGTTCTGACCAGCTCTAGAGAACTGGTAGAGGAAATTTTGAGTAGTTCGGAAAACCTGCAAATACCACCTCTGACTGGAGATTTTAACAGTATCCTTCCCCTGCCACGCCCACCAAGCCATGCCCACAGAACCGGTAGTAAAAAAAATTGAATCCCACCACTGCACCCCGGTATAGATGATGAATTCCAATATAGGTATCATTACCAGTAATATGAAGTATTTAAACTGTACATCAGAAATTTGAAATGGTGCCCATGTAAAGTGTTTTTGGGGACATTTTTTGTGGGACAGTTTTAGATCTTTATTTAGGTCTTATGTATTTTTTAAATATATTTAATCATCAGCCTAGATCCTTTTAACACCTGCATTGAGGGTTTCAATGATTTAGGCCAATGAACCACTGAATTGCCCCATTCCCCACTGAACTGATAAGAATTCTGCAGTTCTTTCTAGAACAGTATAATTGTGTTCCCTTCCTTACCAACACCACCCTGGCCCCTCTTAATGGGTGTACCAGATGGATGTTGTCACACATGAAGGAAACGAGGGGAGAGGATATAAAATGTCAGCCAGTGAAAACTACATGCTTCCAAATCCCAACTAAATTGGGATTGGTAAACTGATTGATTCTTGCTGTCCCAACCTAGGGGTGAAAGCCATCAATTGGAGACATTGGTAAAGGCCGTTTAGACAGAATAACCAACCATTATTATTGCCCAAACTGAGAATGATTTGGTCTTTTATTTCTTTGTTAAACCTGTTTCAATTTTTGTTGATTTTAATGCAGGAGGGAAATCGTTTTATGACTGCTATGCAGAAAAACCCGTCATCCATGACTGCAGACAAAAACGACAACCCTCAGAATCATCTGCATTTCTGAAAGCCATTTTTAAATAGGTGAAGGTAAATGCCTATAATTCAGTATTTTGTGTTTCCTTTGGGTATACTTATTTTGTTAGGGTGTGATGAGTGATTTTCCATATGTATGTTTCTTTAATATTAACAATTTATGTTTCTGCAAAATAGACACTGCAGGGGTTTGGGGTAGAAATACATGATTTGACTTTTAATATTTAGCTATCACCAATTACTTGATCTCTGAACCTCATTAATTTCATAGATAAGCTTTGAGTCACATTAGTTGACTTCTGTAAATGAATATTTCAACAAAAAAAATGGATTAAAACTGAGGTATTGTTTTGAATCAAGACCTTTAATTCTTATCTTCTTAGTTCATTGTGTATTTTTTGTTTTTGTATACTCTAGTTTACTATGGTGGCTTTTTCCCCCAGTGAAGGGATAAGAATGGTTTAATTCTTAAGACCTGATTCAGTTTTATAGGTCATTCTTTTTTTCTCTCTCTCTTTGCTTTTTCCCCCATTATCGTATCAGTGCTGAGGTTACATTTTTAGTAGTTCGGTATATACTGTATGTGGGTGCATTGGAGTAGAAGTTAAGGCATCAAGGTAAAAACCGTAAGTTCTAGTCTCACAGTAGCGTGACCTTGGGCGAGTCACTCTCTCACTTCAACCAACCTAGCAGAGATCTTAACAGTGGAAAAAAAATTGGAGGAAGTAATATTAGGTATGTTCGCCCCCTTGAGTTATTTACAAAAGCAATAAAGGCGGGATGTAAATAATTAAATGAACAAACAAATCTATATCCTTTTTCTAACACACCCTGAACTTCTTCGTGGCTCGAAATTGTGAAAGGCACAATTCAAAAATCTGGGGTTTTAGTACTGAAAATAATACGCGTAACCTTGTTAGAAATAGAGTCCCCGGACTCTCATTTATCAGACGGACACGAATGCGTAGAAAGACACCCACGTGGCTCGGTTGAGACTCGGAAGTGTGCGCTTCTTGCGTAGGCGCTTCTTCCGGTTCCGCGTTCTCTTTGCTACGTGTCTTAAGAGGCCTCGTTGGGTAAGTGTATCGAGCCTCTCTCCGCAACTGTGAGTATAGCTTAATTACGCTTAATTCTGATTTTTGTACTGTGTTTTCTTCGGATTGTTGGCGAAAAAGAGAAATAATGAGGCCTTGGCGTTTTCAATGCCAAAATTTAGTTAAAGCGCAGCTCTTTCCTCTTGGCTGGTTGCAAAATATTTTAGCTCTCCCGATTTCAGACTTGTTGCTTTCTCAAGACCATATTAAACGTGTAATTAATTATTTCTTAAATTAACCCCAGAGGACAATTTTTCACAGTGTCCTGTTCGCTCTTTCCTGGTATCGAAAGCCGCACCTACGTTTTATAGTTTTATGTATTTTCGTGAATTACTGGTAATCTTAATTTAAAACAAGCATTTGTATCTATAAAGCCCCAACTATATAATATAATGCCGTTTCGTACCAAAAGCAGTACGAGAAAAAACAACCAACGGAAGGCAACAAAGTGGTTGCAGAAGAAAACCACTCTATATACGCGCAGTTCTTTTTGCTATAAAAACTGATGTCTGTAAAAAAAGGTCAGTTTGCCTATTAATGAATCTTGGTAGCATTTTGTATCTTATATATGTATTGAATTCTTGTACTTATTTATTGTATATTAAAAATGTATATATAAACTTTGAAGATTACTTGAAGGGGTCCAGCACATGATTAGTATAATTTCCTAATAGTTAGCTACTAACCAGTGATTGACCAGTAACTAGTTGACACACTTCTTTGTAAATCAGGATCACAGTCTGTGGCAATGTGTTCAGTTTGGTAGAATTAAGTTTTTTTGCTTATACTGATCACTCAGCATTTAGACATGTTAATCAAATGAGATAAGGTCACCTCTGAAATATTCCCAGATTTAATTTTATAGTTAATAGCCTCTGAAAGATTAACCACAGCCAACAGCTTTAATTTCTATAAAAGATCAATATTATCAGAGATACTGTTGATTAAAAAATTACCTTTGCTTCCATTTATTTTTGAAAGTTACTTTGTTTTTGGTTTTTCAGTTCATCATGGATCAAGTAATGCAATTTGTAGAGCCCAGCCGCCAGTTTGTGAAAGATTCCATCAGACTTGTTAAAAGATGCACAAAACCAGATAGAAAAGGTAAAGTAATCAAGAGGAAAAAGGGGAAAAAGAAATCTATGGTGATATAAAGTGCAAGAAACAAACCATTTCTGTCATCACAGTGGATCCATCTCAGGTTTCCATATCAAAGCATGTTTTCATTCTAATAATAAAACCCTAACCCTAAATGAGTGAAAGTAAGAATAATATACAAATATACAGATTAAAAAAACTCAAATCTAAACTGATATACTCCACAGTGTTCTTAAAGTGTGATCATGCAAAATACTCTTGGAAGTCTTCAAAATAAAAATTATTTTTAAAAAATGCAATATTAAAATGTTAAGCAAAAGTGGCAGAAATTTTGGTAATTTAATTTTTAATAAGGTAAATGTCAGTAAACATAACCTGTACAAAACACACCACCTTTGGAATCCATAATGTTTAAGGGTGTGAAAGAAAAAAAAAGCTTTAAAAACACTTCTCTAGTGTATTAAGTATTTCATTTGTAAAGTATCCAAAATACTTTTAGAGATTAAGTACAGGTTGCATTTTAAAAAGATATTGAAGTTTTCTTCAGTTCTTATTTTAACAGTGCAAGAGGTACATTTTTGAAATAGGAGCTACAAGGGGACTTTTTTGATAAAGTGAGCAGAGTGATTTGAACTGGAGCCCAGAAACATGTAATACTAGCTTTATCAGTAGTGAGCACATTTTTCTAAGTGAAAAATTGACCTTTTTCTTAGATTTAGAGAAGATGGTTCTCACACAAATGCTGAGCCTAGAAAACACTCAGGAAGTAATTAAGTCTGATTTGGTATCTGATTGCTCTTCCATCATTTGTTTGACAACAGCCAAAAAAGCCAATGTAGTCCTAGGCTACATTAATAGAGGGATAGAATCAAGATCATGTAAAGTTCTAGTACAGCTTTATAAAAGTCTTAGTAAGACCACACTTGGAATACTGCATCCAATTCTGATCACTATATTAAAAGTTGAGACTTTGGAAAAGGGCAGAGAAGAGCAGTAAAAATGATTAGGGAGCTAGAAGCTAAAACATACGAACAAGAATTACAGGAATCGGCTATGTCTAGTTTAATGAAAAGAATAACTAGAGGAGACAAGGTGTTGCAATATTTGAGGGATTCCTAGAAAGACTGTGTGTGTGTGTGTGTGTGTGTGTGTGTGAGAGAGAGAGAGAGAGAGAGAGAGAGAGAGAGAGAGAAAACTATTTTCCCAAGCATCAAAAGGCAAAACAATAAAGAATGGATGGAAACTAACCAAGGAGAGAAACAACATAGAACTAAGGAGAAATTTCCCAACTAAGAGCAATCAATGGAAAAACTTGTTTTCAGAAGTTGTGGGTGCTCCGTCACTGGAGGCTTTCAAAAAGAGACTGGATAAACATCTGAAATAGTATAGGGTCCCCTGTTTGAGGGGTTTGGACTAGAAGACCTCCAAGGTCCAACTCAATTGTTCTAAAATTAAAAACAAAATTACCGCTAATTCCAGTATTCTAAACGCTTTCGAAAATGACCTAATATTCTGTAATACCTATTTGTTTAGTATGACTTAAGGTCTTGCCAGTTAAGCAATGTAACCTAGTCTGACCCATTGAGTGACCCTTTTGGGGGGGGAGTACCTGCATTCATTTGGCCCCTTACCGTCCCAATTCAAAAGAACCCTAAAGAGAGGGCTGTCCCTCAGACCTTACGTTGAGGCACCTGGTGAGTTCTTCTCAGTTGGGGGTATTTTTTAAAGCATTCTTTTGAAGCAAGTATATTTTTAAATTATCATGGTGCTTTTAAATTTTTTTTCTAAAGCTGCTCATTTTTGCAGAACAGTGACTCAGAAATTGGATAAATACATGTAATTTTTAAATTACAGAATTCCAGAAGATTGCCATGGCAACAGCAATAGGTTTTGCAATAATGGGATTTATTGGTTTCTTCGTAAAATTGATCCATATTCCAATCAACAATATTATTGTGTAAGTAAATGTGTTAAATGCTTTGTAGAAAAAGTTCATGATAGTTCCTAATACCTTCTTCCCTCTTTAGTGCCATCTGAGAACCTTGTATGTGACAATAAAATAGTCTATGATATATGCATTTATTTGGAATAAATATTTCTATGATAGTTTGCTATTTAAAAAATGCTAGTGTTACAAAGAAACTACAGAAATTAACAATATGATTTTTTTTATGTGAGACATTAATAACATGTTAATAGTGATGAGATACTACTATACTCTTATTGGTTTCTTGAACAAAGGAGTTCCTTTAAAAAGGGGTATTACTAGTGAAAAGGTCTTCTCCCTCATACTTATTTAATAATGCCACTCAAGTAAAATATTGAATATTAGCATTGCTTCTTTAAACAGTGAGTAATGAGTAAGTTGACTCCTGCCTTTTGAACTAATTCACAAAGCTAGGCAATATTCTGGGGCAGTGCCATATGCCATAACTGAGGTATCACAAGAGTATAAAGGAAAATCATAACAGCTTGATCAACTTCAATTAAAAAAAACCCAATTTTATATTATTAATGCATTTGAACTCCAAAGTAAGAGTTAAATGTAACAGTACTATCAAATTGTGAATGACATCCAAAAGAAAATTTATATCAAATTTCCTCACATCAGGACTACTACGTTTCCCCAAAAATAAGACTTATTTTTCAGGGAATGTCTTATCAGCTTACCTTAGGACCACTGCAGCCAGACCTCCCATGCCCTGACACCTGTTGCACCACTGCTTGTGGCCAGATGTCACATGGCTCATCTCACTTACGTCACTCACCGCAGGATGCTGCATGGTTTGTCATGCGAGTGCTGCCACTGGCAGTAGGAGGCTACGTGGCACATTGCACCGGTGCTGACGCTCAGCCTCATAAGTCAGTATGACAAGTGTTGAGCATGGGAGCCCTGGCTGCGGTGGTCTTAAGGTAAATGGGTGTGGAATGTGTGGGGCAGCCCTAGCTTGATTTTTACACATGCGTCTCACCCCACCTCGTACAACCAAATGGTGGGATGAGTGGGCATGGTCATAACTAGGGCTTATTTTTGGAGTAGGACTTAGGTGCATATAAAAATCAAACTAGGGATTATTTTTGGGATAGGTCTTGTTTTCAGGGAAACCACAGTACACTATTTAGTTTTCTGTATTCATAGCAGTTCAGGGCATAAGCAGAAAACAAATAGTGTGTCATTAAAAGCCACAATCAAAAATATTTGCTGCTGTCTATTAATGTATAAATATATTCAAAAACACATTTGAAATAAATGTACTACTACTAAAATATATAGATATATTTATATATATTTCCTGACAAAAGTAATTTCTTTGGAAAGGGGCATTTCTTAGGCAGGCTACCATTGAAAATTTTTGTAATCTTAGTATGTTTCCCCGAAAATATGATCTACCCCAAAAACAAGCCCTAGCCTGATTTTCACGCCTGTGTCTACAATTCAGCCCTACCACCAGAATAACCTCTAGTTAAGCCCCGTCCACCATCTGTATGCTCTGGTGCTGCCACTCATGGCAGGATGCCATGTGGCATGTCATACCGGTGCTGTTGCTCATGTGTGCAACAACACAATGCACCACACAGCCTCCTGCCATGAGCGGTGTAACAAGCTGTGGTGAATGGCCAAAAGTCTGGCAGCAGCACAACAGGTGTTGGTGTGGGAGGCCTAGCAGTGGTCTTAAGGTAAGCAGGTATGACATCCCCTGAAAATAAGACCTGGTCCTTATTTTGGGGCACAAAAGAAAATAAGACCAGGCCTTATTTTTGGGGAAACACAGGTAATAGAAATAAGAAACCTATTCAGTGATATAAGTCTCCTATTTTTATAATTGAATCCACAAGACATTTCTATATTTGTACATTATATGATACATACAATGGGGGTAATCACGTGATGCTGTAGGACGGGTGGGCACACTTTTTGGCTCGGGGGCCGCATTGACTTAAAATTTGACAGACGGGCCGG